ACCTCTCAAATTTGACAAAGTTGCATTGTTTCCGGAAATTCCGAAATTTTTGGTATCGGACCGATCCGGCGGATTTACACATCTAGTTGCAATCTTATCTTGCTATCATTTTTCATCACCGATAAATATGACGGATTCTTGATATCATGAAAATATATGCATTGACAAATGACAATGCGCGCTCTTAGATCAACTCGAATGGAGGAATCAAATGAAAATTTAAATGGTAAAACTTCTATTTTGATGCTCCATAACTCAATTTTTTATATTTCCAATGAAGGAATCATATTGTTGGTTACTTTGATATTCAACTTCCGGAGATGCAAAAATGCATCCTCCCAAAAGAGGTATAAAAAATTTAACTACCTAAACAACCTATCATGAATTGACATGTGTCAAATTTAAATAAATTCATCCTTATATTTAAAATTTAATAATTTATTTAGTGATTGTAGTTGAAGTATATGGATATCAAAATAACAAAAATAACATCAAATTAATATTTTATAATCCATTATAATGTTTTGCAATTGAAGTTGCTCTTAAAAGTGTATACGTTCTCGGGCACTATTGTAAGCGCAATTTAATATATGAAATGAACAATTACAATTCCTTTTTATCTTTCCCAACAAAAAAACAAAGATATAATCTATCAATGTTTGTTTATATGATTAACTTCTAGCAAATCAACGACTAAGGTGGTGTTTGCAAAAATAGATTATGAGTTTTTTTTTTTGTACATAATATGTTTTTAGGTGTTTGCAAAACAAGCTTTGGTTTTGCTTCTATTAAAATAAGCTGCTTTAAGCTATAATTTTAAAAACACCAATGTACTTGCTTTTTCTATTTTAGTTGATTTTCCATGAAATTTGTAAACACTTCAAATTTTTAGAAATAATCACTTAATTCCAACTTAACTCACAATCACTAAATTCTACTTTTAAATAAGCTTTTGCAAACACAACCTAATTCGGATCGAATAGTTCGCCGAAAAATTAAATGTCAAGGAAGGCCTATGTAATATTTAAAATTTGAAATGGTGTAGATGTAGAAAGTGATGTAATAGACCAAATCATAAATATTTTAGTAGGGATACAAATGTCATATCAGTCACGAATATTGTATTGAACTTGTAATCTAAGGTGGTGTTTGTAAAAGCTTTTAGAAACATATTATGGTCATGTTTGCAAAAGCTTATTTAAAAATATAATCTAGTGATTGTGAGTTAATTTGATATTAAGTACTTAATTATAAAAGTTGGCAGTGTTTGCAAAAAATCTGGAAAATTAACTAAAATAGAAAAGCAGGTATATTGGTGCTTTTAAAATTATAGCTTACAACAACTTATTTTAAGAGAAGCAAAAGCAAAAGTCGATATTGCAAACACCTAAAAACAGATTATGTGAGAAACAAAATTCATAATCTATTTTGAAAGCTTTTGCAAACACCACCTATGAACTTCTTTTGACCTCATAATTTGTTTTTAAGTGTTTGCAAACTCGGGGTTTTGTTTTTTCTTCTCTTAAAATAATATATTTTCCAAACACAAAAAGAGTCTACCTGTAAGTTGTAACTTGTAACCCAACATAAGTTATAATAACATAAAGAATCATACCAAAATACATGTCCGACACCCTTAACACGTCAAAGTTAAAATGATTTAAACACATCAAAGCGAGAAAAAAATAAAGTAAAAATAAAAAGATAAAAAATAAAATAAAATAAAATAAAAGTGTACAAAACATAGGTGCAATAACCCTTAAAAAAATTCAGACAATCTATGTACGAGAGACGAAACACCCTAAAAAACTCCACCGTAAGAGAATAACGATGATTGTCTTATAAACTAAAATTTTACCCTACAAGTAGAGCTGCACAGATGAGTATGCTACAAACGGAAGACAAAAGCCACACAGTAGTCACAATGGATGTACACAACTAAAAATAAACTTCAAACACATTACAGCAAATGTGCTTTAAAAATTTCTCAAGCACTTGCTCGATATTACTACCCGAAATTAAATAAAATAAACAAACACTGCTTCAATTTTTCTAAAACGCTAAGGGGGTACCTCGATATATTACGCATGCAGTTCCTTCCAAGTCACGGTGACAAATCTTTCATATACAATTCCTGCTTCTATTAGGCACCTCCGATTTTCGGAGGCTGTCAACAAGTAAACAGACGCAATTCAGTGACAAATTCAAATTGATTTTGGCGTGAAAATGGAAATATATTTCATACCTTTTTCAGAGGCACCTTGGAAGTGCCTGCTGCAGGTTTTAGTATCTCAAATGAACAAACCAGTGATTCATCGACGCTTAGAAGTGCTCCAACATTGTCAAATTCTCCACCGTAATTTGGAGCCGAAAATATAGTGACGAGTCTTCTTTTAGCAAAGAACTCGTAACCATCCTCCACAACCTAAAATAAAGAACCGAGCAGACCATATATCTCATTTTAAGAAAATGATTTGGCATTTATAACCGTGCAATAATAAATATAGGACTACAACCGTGACATAAAACTTCTCATCTGCATATGGGATAGCAATCCAAAATGCATGCATATATATATATATATATATATATATATATAAGGAGTGGTAAATTACGGGCACTTCTTGAGGTCAGGCTAAATAAGTTACAAACCTTTGTGGTATTGGTAGTTACAAATACCCCCTAGCTATTTCTCCCTCTTACAATTACACCCTTAAGGAATTGAGTAACGGAATCTTGAACATTCCATGGAATATTCGTTCTAAATTTCCAAAACTAACCCCAGGTGGTAAATGTAATATTTTGTCTTACCGCAGGGTTACCCGTAGTTTAACCATAGTTTGTTTGTTTAATAAAAGGGTAATTTAGACAATGGGTTGTTAGTTTTAGGGGGTATTTGTTATTACCAATACCACAGGGGCTTGTAAGTTATTTAGCATTACCTCGGAGTATCCGTAGTTTAACCAAAAAAAAAAAAAGTAAACAAAAGAAGAGAAAAAAGAAATATACCTGATGGCCCCTACAAATGAGGTCCAACTCATTTTTCTCCAAAAACTCAGCAACTGCATCGGGGCCAAAAGTACACGAAACGCCCCTATCACTATCAGCCCAACCGACGGTCCTGGGGTCAGGATCGGACCATAGCATATCGCAAAGAAGACCGTTATCCGGGATTTCAGTGGGCCTAACAATCTCATTAATCTGATCCAAACTCTTCAGCTCCGGAGAAAGTCCACCATGCATGCATATAATCTTTTCGTCGATTAATGCAGAAACAGGCAAACAGTTAAAGCAGTCGGTGAATATCTTCCAAAGACGAACGTTGAATCTCCTCTTACATTCGTCGTAAAATCCATAAATACGGTTTATTTTGGCGTCTTCGTGGTTTCCCCTTAAGAGGAATATTTTGTCGGGGTACCTTATTTTGTAAGCCAATAGAAGGCATATTGTTTCCAAACTCTGCTTGCCTCTGTCAACGTAATCTCCTAGAAAGAGGTAATTTGCAGCCGGTGGGTACCCACCGTATTCAAACAGCCTCAAAAGATCTTGGTACTGTCCATGTATGTCACCTGCAATAATTTTTAGATTCTCCATTAATCGAGCTTGCAATTTATATGAGAAGCCCTAACAGCTTTATCAACTTGCTCAAATAGTGTGGTTTATATTATAACACAAAACACACGACTTTTAACACATCAACTCATTCCAACAGTGTCGTTTACATTTATGCAAAACTACTATATTTTGTCATGTCATATATTTAATTTTGCAATAACCAGAATGAAATTTTAATGTGTTAATTTATAAAGTTTTATATATATCTACAGAAGTTGTATATCAAGATTCAAATTGTTAATAGAAAAATAATTAAAATAAACAAAATTTAATTAAAAGACAAAATACACATACAGCCTTGTTTTGGCTGTTCAGTCAAATCCTCTCAAATTTGTTTCTTGATTAGTGCATTTCGCCCTCTAGCCAAACATATCCTTGTCTAATAAAATTTAGAAGCACAAAAAGTTTGTGTTCGGAAAACAAAAACGTGTTTGGCAAGTGTCACATATACACAAATTTTCTATACCACATCGTTCAATTAATGATGTCGCCATATTCTCGAGGGAGGTTTTCCGCTAGAGAAACTATGATATCGCAATCATTGAGATGACGTGGCTTTTCCGACAAATATTTAATATTTTAACACAACTGTTGTAGAATATTTTTGACCATGTTTTGTAAACTTAATGTAAAGGTGCGCATTTAGACTGAAAGAATTGAAACAAATGGATTATAAAATGCTTTGGGTTTTAATGTCTTCGATTTGAATTAATTTCTTTAGATGTATCTGGATTTTCAAAAAGGATTTAAGGTCAACGTTCATATTATGTAAGGAAAAAAAAACAAAATCTCCGTTTTTTACCTCCCGACAAAATATTATTTTCATCTTGAAAAAATTTATATTTTCCCGACACAAATACTTTATTTGGGACATGAAATACAGCTATAGATTGTAAAATTACAAGCAAATAATAGAAGCATATAGTTGGAGCACCTTGAAATAACAATGTGCATGGGTTATAATTCTTCGAATCCAAGACAATAAATAGTCTTCAAATGTAAAATTAACATAACAAGCAAAGTTAAAGAGGAATGAAAGAAAAACTTCTTTCCTTCAATCAGACACGAAAAAGTTTTTTTTAAGAAAAAATAATTACAACATTATCGATAATGGAAGAGATAATTCAGAGTTTCATTCCGTGGAAATCAAACACAAGTCAACCAAACTCTTCGATAAAAATCCTAACCAAAAACAATATTTCTTTTGCCTCAACGTCAGACATTTCAAAGTTTACGTGCAAAAATAACGAGCGCGTGTATAGATAACGCGAAACAACTACATTGCATCCACAACAACATTCAATAAAAAACACGAGAACCATAACAAAAACTCATGCGATTGTAAAAAAAAAAAAAAAAAAAAAAAATTGATCAATTAGATGCAACCTCAAAATAATCATAAATCCAATTTCTTTCTTGCCAAATTAAATAAATCCCCAACATCAAAAAAACCTTTCCCCAATACTATTCACACAAAAACGCCCAACACAAATGCTACACCTTTTCTACATAATCCAATTCAAAATTAAAAAATTTAGATCAGAAAAAAAAAATAAAAAATAAAGGAGAGAGAGAAATACAAACCGCAGATCCTGATAGGGGCGCGGAGCTGGAGGAGATTGGGCTGAGAGAGGAAGATTTGGCGGGCGTTGACGCAGAGGCGGCGGATCTCCGCCTCGGAAAGCTGAACCTGTTTACCTCCTTTCCCTTCCAATAGACGCCGGATTATATCATCCAACACACCTTCGTCAATCATACCCTCCATTGTCATCATCTTTCTTTCTTCTCTTTCAAACCGATAAATCAATCAAATTGCATCAAACGCAGAGGCAACAATAGAAATGGTTGTCATTTATTTATTTATTTATTGAATTAATTATTATCCTATTTGGTGCTGAGAGAATATATGACCGGATGGATGGGATTAGGTTTTTTGGTTTGATAAACAAATGAGGGATGATTATTATTATTATTATATGACCATCTAAAAGTAATGGTGTTTTCGTTATTTTATTTCCTTTTTTTTTTATTTTTTTATTTACTATTTATTTATCTATTTATCTCAAATGTCAAGATAGATTATTTGATATGGTCGTTTGCCCATGTTGTCATTGTATGCGTGCTCTCCTCGTTTCTCATTCCTTAATTTTTTCTTTTTTATGGGTAAATTGGAGATTTTTTTTTTAAGTAAGTCGACTAAGCAGGCCGACTAATTTGTCCTACACCTCCTCGAAAATAATTATGCAAGGGTAAATTACAACCATCCCCGATGTATTGTCGATTTACTAAAAAAAACCATACTGTTTGGACAGTAGCGGATCTAGGACGAAAATTCAGGGTATGCCGGCTGTGGCGAGTCCAAGAATTTACTGTACAGTGGGTTAAATTTTGGGGGGTTCGGGGGCAGCGCCCCCGGAAAAAAAAGTTGAACATTTTTTTGTTGGATAAATTAGGAGAAAGGAAAAAAAATTGAAACTTTTTTTTTTTTTGATAAATTAGGAGAAGAAAAAATTTATGACTTTTTTTGTATATTTTGAATTTTGTGTGGACTAAATAATAATATAGATATAGTATAATGTGTTTTGGGGGGAGAGGGGCTAAAAAAAAAAAAAAAAATTTAGGACTTTTTTTGTATATTTTGAATTTTGGGTGGACTAAATAATAATGTAGGTATAATATAATGTGTTTTTGGGGAAAGGGGCTAAAAGAAAAAAAGAAAACAGTTAAGATTTTTTTTCTATATTTTGAATTTTGAGTGGACTAAATAGTAACATAGATATAATATAATGTGTTTATGGGAGAGGGGCTCAAAAGAAATTTAGACAAAAAAAATAAACAATACTTTTTTGTACCATTATGGAGACGAACTCATGACCTCATCTAACAACTTGGAGATCTTTGCCACTAAGGCAAATTTATTTTCATTGTTTAGGGTGGTCCATGGCATACTTGGCCACCCCCTAGATCCGCCCCCGTGTTTGGATAATTATATCTACCATCTCGATTATGATTTTTTCTTTTGTGGAATGTGCTCTAGTTTGTATTCGTTTTGTGTAAAAATATAATTTCTGATGCACCACAATCTGATATATACAAGCCAAAAAACACATATTATAATTATCTTACTTCAAAATGTGGAGTTCGAATGAAATAAAACTGGTACTAAAGTGATTATATTCCATATAATCTCGAAGATTCCACTAAATTTGAAATCGCAAGGGTGGACGTGTAAGAAGATTTATTGTTGAAGAAGGTGGTTGTAATTACCCAAGCATGAGGGGGGTTTTCGTAATTTGACCATACCTCAGGGGCGTGGTTGTAATTTACCCATTATTCAAATATGGTCAACTTATTTTACGCTGCAAATGTTTAGAAATACCTTCAGTGGCGATTTCAGGAATTTGGAACAAGGTGGGCTTAAATTTTTTAGGGGTCCGGGGGCAGCGCCCCCGATTTTTTTTTATAAAATCAGAAACTAGGAAAAGAAGAAACGAAAAAAAAAAGAAACATAAAAAAAACAAATTTTAGAATTTTTTTCCCATTAGTTAGGATTTTGGGTGAACTAATTAATAAAATCTGGGACTTTTCTTGCATTAATTTAAATTTTGAGTGGGCTAACTAATAAAAAAATGGGGCTTCTTTTGCATTAATTAAAATTTTGAGTGGGCTAATTAATAAAATTTTGGTGGGCTAAATAAATATATAGTATAATATAGGGCGAAAATTGTAAATTGAGGGTGGGCTTGAGTCCACTCTTGCTTAAGGGTGGACTCGCCCCCCAATACATTGATGAAATGGTCGACTATATTAGTTGACTGAGTTGGTGGATTTTTTTTTTTTAAGAGAACGACACACGATGAGGGTGGGCGGTTAGGCTTGACCCCCTACCTGTTTATAAAAACAAAATTTAAGAAGTACATAGTGAGTTTCGCTCAAATTGCTACTGCCCAACATATGGCCAATAATAGCAATTGACAAACAAAAGACAATAGTTAACTAACAAAACGTTAAGAATACGGGCAAACAGGTGGTCCAAATAATAAAAAGGACAGGGGTGGGAATGATCGTAGAAGGTCGGGGAAGACCAAGGTAGACCGTTCGCCTCACCACAACAGCCGAGGCCACTTACACTTTCGCCAAAAATGGGCGAAACAGGTATAACGGCTGGGAAATGTGTGGCACCATTCGGCAAACAGTCTAGTTTTGATAGACCCAAACAATCCATAATCACCCCAACCCTTCCTAACATGTAAAGTTACCCCAACCCTTCCTAACATGTAAAGTTCACGAAAGTTCCTAAATTGCCAATAATATAAAAATGTGGAATGCATGGCACCTATGTACGAGTTGGTAGATTATATTGGTTAACTATTTTCTTCTGTTTAGATTCGTGAAAATTTACTACATGTCTTCTAACCTAACGTGCATCTGCCTAACCACGAAATAAAGAAGGCTATCTCTTTAGCAGGGTCGTTCCTGAGAATTCGGGGCCCCTAGGCGAGATTTAAAGAAAAACTCAAAATGGAGCCCCCTCTACAAATCAATTTATTACAAGGGTATTCGAAATTGAATATACTAAAGGAATATAAATAACATTTCATACAAATAATGGACTAAAAAATTACGGCGGTTCGGGGCCAGTGCCGAAATATTTTTTGAAATGTATGAATATAAAATAACTAAAAATAAGAAAAAAATTTAATGTTAACTGAATGATTTGTTGGTTCACTTTCTCTCGTGATGTATTATCTTTATAACAAATAGACTTCATAAATAGTTATAAAAAGAAACTTGAATAAAGTTCATTTGATTTTTATTTGAGAAATAAAAACAAGTTATTAAGAATTATAAATTTAATATTTAGGGATCCAAGGTTAAGAAAATTGTAAAAAGGGGTCTTCACAAATAAGCCCGTAAATGGGTACTTATTCATAAAGAGATCCAGACAATAAACTCCTTTACAAAAAAGTCCACGCATAAAAGACTAAAATAGCCCATCATACTTTAATATGCTCCAATTTCATCATTTAATTTAATCTAACCTCAATTTGACCCCAAATTTCACAAATTATTCAATTTTGACCCAAAACACATTTTTATGGACAAATTCGTCCGTCACCGCGGGTCTCCGGCGTTGTCTTTTTTTTTTCCTTCCGGAGTTTTTTGCCGGTTTTCGGCGTTGACTTTTTTTTTTTCCTGATTTTTCCGCCACTGGTTTTCGGCGTTGACTTTTTTTGATTTTTTTTCTTTCTTTCTTTCTGTAACATCTTTTTTTTTCCCGTTTAAACAGCAATATTGTTGTGATTGATAGTAATATTAACTATATTACTGTTAAACACAGTAAAATTAACTATACTACAGTTTAACATAGTAATATTGCTATATTAGTCTCTAGCGCAGTAATATCAACACAACAAAACTCATTATTGTTGTGTAATAGAGTAATATTACTATGTTGACTGTTCAAAAAATGTAAACATAATAAAAAGCCAACATAATTAATATTACTGTGAGTGACAGTAATATTACCGTCAACCACAATAATATTACCGTCAACAACAGTAATATTACCGTCAACCATAATAATATTGATGTGGTTGACAGCAATATTAATTACTATAACAACAGTAATATTACCGTCAACCACAGTAATATTATTGTGTTTACAGTAATATTACAATAATAGACAGTAATATTATTACGTTACTCCGTGAATAACTCAAACAAAATAAAAAATCCAGAAAAATAATAATATTGATGTGGTTGATAGTAGACACGGCCACGTGGTCCGAGTCCAGACCTGATTTTTAAATTTTGTTCCAAATGTGTGATGTAGGGGATTAGAACTCGGGTACCCACACACATAAATGGCAATCTAAACCAATGATCCAAGATAAATATTTAGGTAATTACTTGCAAGAAATATATTTAACATAAACAAATAGTAAAAAATGATTATAATAAATATAGTTAAATGAATTATTAATTATCATATTCATAATTATTAATTAATTTTAATTAAATTATTAACAAATATAATATAATAAAAAAATTAACATAAATTGAAAGGAATTGACGTTAATCCATTTAAATTTTACGTTCTTCATGTTGTTAGAGAAAGAACCCGCGTTGCTCAAAAAATTGCTAGACATTCTTTAACATATTTCATAATATAAAGTGACTTGAGCTATAAACATTCATGTAACAAAAATGAATATATATATATATATATATATATATATATATATATATATATATATATATATATTGAACTAGTAGAAAAAATAACTCTGTAAGGAAAATTATTTGATTGTTCCACAAATAGATCAAAAGTACCTTATAGCAAAAATGGGGTTCATTTCCCCTTATTACTTAGATTCAATCGAGGATTACAACAAAAATCTATACTGAAATAAATGATCACATGTTTACTATTAAGATTTGTTCCTCTCTATAAATTTAATTTTTTCATGTGCATTTTCTACGAATGAAATTTGGAATAAATAAATAAAAACTTATTTTAAATTATTATATATGTACGACAGAAAGATTCAGTTTGCTATCTATGCATTGTTATGGTTATCAGAACAAGCAAATTTCTGCAAAACATATCTAGCACAAAGCATATGATTTCATGATCTACCAACGCACCAAGATTATAAGTATTAACATATTAATTGATGCATTAGATTAAGTAAACCACAATATTTCAAAGAAAAATGAAACGAAAAGTTGTTATTTATTTTATCGTAGGAAAATCTCATTTATTGGTCTTTGTCATCGCGGGAAATGCGAGTGGTGGTTAAAGAGTGAGGAGCGCGTGTTGGAGAAGAGGAGCACGTGCACATTTCACACACATAACGAAAAATAGTTGCGTGCCACTAGTTTTAAAATGAGCACGTGCACTGTTTCTCCAACGAGAGCTTCTCTCTGAAATCTAATACCTATATATAGGAGTGGA